AAAAGAAAAAAGCCGGAAGTGGTGCTGTGGCTCAAGTGGTAGAGCACTAGCCTTGAGCTGAAGAGCTGAGGGACAGTGCCCAGGCCCAGAGTTCAGGCCAAAAAAAAACAAACAGAAAAACAGAATCCCACTCTTGGTCATGTACCCTTTCTCCATGAAGAGAAAATGGAGACATTGTCAGATACAGAAAAACAAAGAGAAGTCACCAAATACAAGTTAGCCCTTCTTTTGAGTTATTGTTAGTTTTTTTGGTGGGTATTTTTGTTGTGGTATTGGTTGTGGGGCTTGAATTCTGGGCCTGGACACTATCCCTCAGCTCTTCAGCTCAGGTGAGTGCTCTACCACTTGAGCCATAGCACCACTTCTGGTTTTCTGGTGGTTTATTGGAGATAAGAGTCTCACAGACTTGCCTTCCTGGGCTGCCTTTGAACTGCGATCCTCAGATCTCAGCCTCCTGAGTAGCTAGGATTACAGATGTGAGCACCGGTGACTGGCTCCTTTTGAATTTTCTAAATTTTGCTTGATGGCAAAAGCAAAAATTATAATATTTTGGGTATGGTTGTAAATATATTTGTGAAAGTATTTAAGATCATCTTATGAGTAAAGCTTCAGAAAGATAAATATTCCTTCATTTGAAGCACAGAATATAATTACATCAATAGAGTATTGAAAGCTTTACTATTAGATCACAGAGCTGAATACGTTACAAAGAGATACACCTAAAATCTTCATATATGAGTCTAATTCTGAAAACTGTTCAGTATCCCTCAGAAAGACAATAAACAGAGGGAAGAGGGACGGGCATGCAGCTGACGGGTTCTGCGCATGCCTAGCAGCACAAGACCAGCTTCCTATCAGCCAATCCATATCAATTAATGAAATAAAACCGCAGGCCTAAGCCCTCCTTGTCAGTAATTATGTATGTTTACGTGGACTTCCTACCACTGGAGCCTTACCCAGTCCTGTGAACGTTGAGATACACCAATTAGAAAAAATGTCCAAGAATAGAGGCAGACTAAAATTAAAGGCTGCAAACCAAGGCTTTATAAAAAGAAAAGCAGGCAAATGCTCAGTTGCAGTTGGAGCCTTGATCACCCCTCTCTCAACAGTACTTTGATCAGCTAGACAGAAAACCAAGGACCTGATCACTTATGTAGCACTCCACCCAGCAACAGCAAAATGACCTCCCGTATCTGCTAACATCATACACTGTGCCAGCATGCACAGTACTTGAAATTGATATAACTTTTTCTCTCCAATGGCAGTGGAATCAAACTCAAAGGAGATAATGGATAATAGGAAAATTTGTAAACAATTGGAAGTAAACAACATTTCTAAACTACAAGTTAAAGAGCATGTCTTGAAGAAAATTAAATATATTGAACTAAAGAAAAATGGAAATACAACCTATCAAAACTATGGGATGCAGGCTGGGAATGTGGCTTAGTGGTAGAGTGTTCATTTTACATGCATGAAGTCCTGGGTTCGGTTTCTTAGCCAGAAGTGGCCCTGTGGCTCAAGGGATAGAGTGCTAGCCTTGAGCAAATGAAGCTCAGGGATAGTCCCCAGTTCCTGAGTTCAAGACCCAGAACTGGCAAAAAACAAAACAAAATAAAACGACAACAAAAATCATGGGATGCAGCTAAAGCAACGCTGAGAGGGAGATTTATAGCACTAAAATGAATATTTTAAAGAGGAAAAGGCTCAAGATAATAACCTAAGCTCTTACCTGGAAAACTAGAAACAAAATGAACCCACTGCAAACAAACAAAAGGAAATAAAAGCAGAAGTTAGTGAAATTAAAATCAGAAAGACAAGAAAACAAATCATTGGGGGAAAAAAAGAGCTGACTCTATTGAAAAAAAAAAAAACTTCTAGAATGCCTGACAAAGAAGAGAAAATACCATGTCAAGAGTGAAATAGTGGGCTGGGAAGGTGGCTCAGTGGTAGAACGCTTGCCTTGCAATGCATGAGGCCCTGGGTTCAATTCCTCAGCACCACATAAGCAAAAAGAAAAAAAAAAGCCGGAAGTGGTGCTGTGGCTCAAGTGGCAGAGCGCTAGCCTTGAGCTGAAGAGCTGAGGGACAGCGCCCAGGCCCAGAGTTCAGGCCCCACGGCCGGACCCAAAGACTAAAGAAATAAAAAATAAAAAAAAGAGTGAAATAGTATCATCGTGGCCGACCCTATCATCGTCAGAAAGATAATGAAGAAGTACTACAAACTACACATTTATTTGAAAATCTCTACTTGGAAGTTGACATTGCAGCTTTAAAACTCCCCAAAAAGAGGGGCTGGGAAGGTGGCTCAGTGGTAGAGCGCTTGCCTTGTATGCATGAGGCCCTGGGTTCGATTCCTCAGCACCACATAAGCAGAA